TTTATTTTTGCTTTTGTCGGAATCCCACAATGAGCTTTTATTTGAATTTTCCAACATGACTTTCTGTACAAATTAATATTACAAGTCAACTTCTTCCCTAGGCCAGCGCAGTTTCTGTTGTCCCTCTTCACTTTTTAGACTTACCATTTCCCTGATGACGATGACTTCTGAAAAGATTGAGAACTGCAGCCTATTTTATTTTGTTTAAATTTATTGACTACTTTTACATGCCATCCATGATGCTAACTTTGCGAAAAGATTTGAACTACACTAGGATGTTGCAAAGATAACTAGAAGAAATATTTCTATGTATTTCTATGAAGTAAGTGCCTATAAAGAACTGTTGCAGGAATTAGGTGTGTCTAGTTTAATGAAAAGAAGGACGAGGAGTGATAGGATCGCAGTCTTCCAATATTTGAGGGGCTGCCCCGTAGAAGAGGGGGGTCCACCTATTCTCCAAAGGACCTGAAGTCAGGACAAGAAGCAACGGATGGAAACTCATCAAGGAGAGAAGAAACCTGGAATTAAAAGGAGAAACTTCCTAACAGTGAGGAAAAGTAACCAGTGGAACGTCTTGCCTCCAGAAGTTGTGGGATCTCCAACACTGGAGGTTTTTAAGAAGAGATTGTCTGAAATGGAGTACGGTTTCCTGCTAGAGCAGGGGGTGGACTAGCAGACCTCCAAGGTCCCTTCAAACTCTGTTATTCTGTTATACTAAAAGGAGTCCTTGAGTCTAATCCAAAGCAAGCCATCATCTACATCTTTCTGCTCCAGGTAAAACTTACATGAGTCTGTAAGAAATCTTGGATGGGTCTATTTTAAAATCTGGGTCTTCGAAGTATTGAATTCTTGTCAGGAGCAAATTCCCACCAATAATGAGATCTCCAGGCTTGTAATATTCTTGCAGAATGTGGAAAGTGTTTGCCAGCACAGATACATTTGGCGTGCCCTTAGCAGCAGCTGGAGGCAGGAGCCAGAAGAGGAGCAGGAGGAGGAAGAGAGGCAGCCCAGTCATTCTCACCTTCCCTCGGTCGGAATAATAATTTGGGATTCCAACTTGAGCTGGGGTTGTGCAAGAATAAATAAAAAATGAAATCCAGACAGCTGTGTGGAAAAGGAGAAATATTTATTCCTCAAGGCAAAACGGTTTGCCTTGGGGGCAGCTGCAGAGAAATGGGGTACAAGGAGTTTAACAGATTAAAGAATTGGAAGGGACCTTGGAGGTCATCCAGCCCAACCTCCCTCCCCCAAAGCAGGAGACCCTACACCATTTCTGACAGGTGGCAGTCCAGTCTCTTCTTGAAAGCTTCCAGGGATGAAGCTCCCACAACTTCTGAAGGCAACTTCTGATCCATGGGTTGATTGTTCTCCCTGTCAGAAAGTTCCTCCTTATTTTCCAGGCTGAATCTCTCCTTGATCAGTTTCCATCCATTATTTCTTGTCTGGCCTTCAGGTGCTTTGGAAAATAGCTTGACCCCCTTCCTCCTCTCTGTGGCAGCCCCTCAAATATTGGAAGACTGCTCTCCTGTCTCCCCTGGTCCTTCTCTTCACTAGACTAGCCAGGCCCAGTTCCTGCAACCGTTCTTCGTATGTTTTAGCCTCCAGTCCCCTCATCATCCTGCTTGCTCTCCTGTGCACTTTTTCTAGAGTCCCAACCTCTAGATGCAGTACTCTAGGTGTGGTCTTACTAGGGCTTTAGAGAGCTGTCTTAGTACCTCCCTTGATCTTGATTGTATCCCTCGGTTAATGCAGTTTAGGATTGCATTGGCTTTTTTGGCACTGTTGTTTTATAGAGGAGCTTGTCTTAGGTGTGGAAGTGTCTACGGGCTGATTCTAGAGTGACACTACAGGTGTGGTTATCTGTAGTTATATGTCATCTATAATATTTATTCTTGTGAACACGTTTTAATGACCGTTTTAATGACCGTTCTATTTTTCTTTACAGACCTTCTCCTTTGATATGTGGATGAGGTCTAGGTAACTTCTTTGCAGGTTTGAGTAAAAAAAATTCCTTCAATTGCTGTTTTTACTTGATTAACTTAGTTTCAGCTTGACTGTCAATTATATAGTGGAGCCACTAATTCTCAGACCATTGTGGATTCTGTTAATGTTTTAAAGAAAGGTGAAGACAGTATATAGAATAAATGTATCTTTTGAGATAAAACTTCCCAACCTCCTAGATGAGAAATCAAAGCATGTGTAGAAGCTGAATAAGCAGGCAACACTGCTAGTCTCACAAGAGCTTTAGCAGACTACAGACTGGCCGTACAAACTAGATGATCTTTGGGTACATTTCTATCAACCATGTTTCCTCTTACCTGGGCTTGGCTTGTCACCAAAGGGAAACTAAGGCCAGCTGAGCTACACCAAACCCAGGAGTCGGCTCTTTTCAAGACATGCTAAGGTCACCTGTCCAGCCCTCACCTGGAGAACTAAAAGCTTATTGTTTAAAGTATGTTTTATCTTGGAAGATTTTTGTGGGTAGAAATCCACAGGGGAGACATTGAGAATTACCGTTCTTCTGATAATTGCAAGGAACAGCAATATCCTACCTACGTAATATTAGATTTTGTTTGTGCACCAGATGGGGAATAAAATGTTTACGTCTCTTGTATTCCATGGAGTAGGTGGACTTGAGAGTCAAGGGGATGTTGGTTATTTGACCTATATGAAACTGAGTACCTGCAAACAAGGTGGAGTTTGGCCTGAGCCAATGTTTGTGTTCTGTCCTGACTACACATTAGTCTGTGCACACCTCGACATGCAGTTAAACCCTCCTATCCTCCAATGAAGCAAACCACGTGCCTAGATCTGGAAGCTTTATTGAAAGAAAAGGATATGGTGAAACTGGGGAAAATAGGGATACATACAAGGAGAACCAAATACAAGATAGACAGTATTGAGTTATTGCTGAACATAACAATTCATAAATACAAGCAATTTAAATCTCACCAGCAATGCTCTGTGTGTGGGATGTGGGTTTGTGCTTGGATGACCATGTGCCACAGATTAAGACGGATGTTTCCTTGTGCTTCTGCCTCCTCCAAATGCTAAAGGAAGTGGAGTCTGGCTTCCCAGCATGCACTTGTTTTGAGAGTGCGGGCTGATAGGTAAACGGTTGGGTCAGCTTCAAACAATATAATTGGCATTTGTCTCTCCGGCCACTAGATGGGGCTAGAGAGCAACATCAGCAGTGGTGGGTTTCTACTGGCTCGCCCCAGTTCGGGCGAATCGGTAGTGGCGGTGGTGAGAGGCTCCGCCCACCCACCCAGACGTTATCACAGATGCTCTGTGCATGCGCAGAAGTTTCTGCATATGCGCAGAAGCAAGCACGCATGTGCGCAGAATGAGTGCACACGTGTGCATGCTCCCGGTTCCAAACCCACTACTGAACAACAGTATATAAAGATTGTATGTTGGGACAGTTTGCTTGGATAGTATTGAGAGCTAATGGGGCCTGGTGGCACATGAGAATCAGTCACATCATAGTAAGCGTGAGCCATCAAAGCAACGCTTGGATGGAGTAACTGGTTTGATTATCAACACAAGGCAGGAGATGAATCCAGAAACCAAGTTCTCCAACAGATCTTACAAATAGACAAGAGGGTCCCTGAAGATGTCGGGCACATTTAAACGCTAAGGGACTATTGTTTAACAACTAATTGAAGCCTGAAAACTTGTGTTGTGTGTTGTGTGTTTTTCTTTCATTTATTTGTACCATCTTTTCCAAATATTATGGCCAAAAGAGAAGAGAGTAATAGTGCACAGGCCATGCCTTTCTGCTAACTTCACCCCAGAAATGGGATCTTCTCCCACGTCCCACAGGCTATTCAAACAGAATTATTCTGGAATGGATTTGGTGTCTGAAGTCTTGCTGTCAATTGTACTGGTTTTATAATTATTTATCTAGTTAACTGCAGTTAGTTAGTTAGTTAGTTAGTTAGTTTACTTTATTGTCATTGCACCTTGTACAACGAAATTAAACGCCATCTTCACGGCACTGTACATTATAACTATAAAAATAAAACACATGCACACATCCTTCGCATTCTGTACAATTGAATTGAAAACCCCTGATATTGCATTAATATTGCACTATAAAGTAGAGTTCAAAATAGTTACTTCCTTGTATCCTGAAGCTATGTTTCAGCCTCTTTGTCCTTGTTTTTATTGTCCTGTACCGTCTGCCAGATGGTAATAGTTCAAAAAAAAAAAGGCGCCCAGGATGAGATGGATCTTTAAGGATGTTTTGAACTTTCTTAAGGTAGCGGGAGCTATCAAGCTCTTCCAAGGAGGGGAGAGGGCAACCCATGATCCTCTGGGCAATGACGTTGACCCTCTGAAGTGCTGTCCTATCTGCCACAGACTCCTTTTCATGAGGGAACATAGCCAAAATTAGTTTCCAAAAAAACTAGGGCTTCTTGTGATTTGTTCATTCCATTTCCTCATCAAATTTAACTATCTTTGTGTTTGATATCATATATAAAAATTCCATTCTCACTCCTCTGGATGGTCTGTATCTTCCTCAATCTCAGGCCTTCTACCAGAGGCCTGGCAGTTGGAGGGTTCTTAGCTCATCCCAGCATTGCCTTCATCTGGACAGGGACAGTGGTGAAATCCAAATTTTTTTTACTACCAGTTCTGTGGGCGTGGCTTGGTGGGCGTAGCAGGGGAAGGATACTGCAAAATCTCCATTCCCATCCCAATCCAGGGAAAGGATACTGCAAAATCCCCATTCCCTCCCCACTCCCAGGGAAAGGATATTGCAAAATCTCCCTTCCCACCCCACTCTGGGGCCAGCCAGAAGTGGTGTTTGCCACTCTCCGAACTTCTCAAAATTTCTGCTACCGGTTCTCCAGAACTTGTTAGAACCTGCTTGGATTTCACCCCTGGACAGAGAGTTCTGCTGTTGTTCTTGGGATCTGTTAGAGACACTCTCCCAACGTAGTCATAGATCCAAATGTTTCTACCACAACTGAAACCACTTTGGCCTTGACTTTTCATATTTTCTCTAGTTCCTCCTTCAAGGCCTGGTCCTTCTCCAGCGTCCCATTCTCCTTCTTCTTGATGTTGCTGTCTTTTGGCATGGCTACATCTATCACCACCCATGTCTTCTTCTCTATGATCTCTGTGTCTGGTTGATTGGCCAAGGCCTGCCTGTCTGCTTGGATTTGCAAGTCCCAAAGGATCTCAGCCCTGTTATTCTTCAAAGCTTTGTGTGGAATTATCACATCTGGGTTTGAGAAGGTCTAGCCCATACACTCTGCATATGTTCCTGTACACCACAACAGTGTTTTGACCCAGCCATTGCAAATAATGGTCGCAAGTTCAAGGTTGACTCAGCCTTCCATCCTTCCGAGGTAGGTAAAATGAGGACCCGGATTGTAGGGGTAATAAACTGACTTTGTATAAAAAAGAACACCGCTTAGGGGCCCCCGAAAGCCCTACTAAGCAGGTATACACAAAAGTATGAAGGCTGTTGCTTAACGCATTGTAAGCCGCCCCGAGTCTCTGGAGAAGGGCGGCATATAAATCGAACCAATAAATAAATAAATAAATAAATAAATAAATAAATAAATAAATAAATAAATACCATTTACTCGTGAGTAAAACACACCCCTTTTTATAACAGGGCAAAAACAGTCTTTTACTCACATGGATAAAAAAAAAAATGAAACATAATTAGTCCCAACAAACCTGGTTCTGGCCAAGGAATCCAAATTGCTTGCTGTATACTGGAAAATGAATGCTTGTCTGTGACAACTGGCCACTCCCAAACCATTACTATTTATTTCCCAGCCAGGGAAGGGCTGGCTAGTGTCTATGTCTTCTTTTCCTGGAGAGCCGGCTTATTGTTTTCCTTTGCTCTCCTCTCCTTTCCTCTCTGTGCATACGCACATCTGGGATGGGCCCCATCTGTTCTTCCCCCTCACTCAGCTCAGGCCCCGTAGACAGCTGCCCCTCCACCTGGGGGAGGACCGAAGGCCCCAGCTCTGCCTCTGTCTTTGATGCTGTTTCCTTATCAGAGCCTTCTAAGGGCTCCAACGCTGGCCCAGCGTCCCTCCCTCCCTCCCTCCCTCCACCCCCTCCTCATTGCCCCTCCCTGCATTTACACCCTGTCACTATCTGTTGGTCTGTCTCTGATGCTGGATGCAATATTCAGGTGTGGTCTAACCAATGTTGAGTATGTAGGAGCCATTTTATTTTTTATTTTTATTTTTATTTATATGCCGCCTTTCTCCGGAGACTCAGGGCGGCTTACAATGCGTTAAGCAATAGCCTTCACACTTTTGTATATTTTATACAAAGTCAGCTTATTGCCCCCACAAACTGGGTCCTCATTTCACCTACCTTAGAAAGGATGGAAGGCTGAGTCAACCTTGAGCCTGGTGAGATTTGAACTCGCAGTAACTGCAGGCAGCTGGAAGCTAAATACTACCTTTTAACAGTAGCATTAGTCTGCTGTGCCACTGATTCTTATTGTTGTTGTCACTCTTTACAGCAAGGTGCATCAGCGTCATCAACAGACACAGAGTGTCAGTAACAAGATGCTCATCTTGTCTCATGTTCAGCTTGTGATTCATGAAGACCTAGAGATCCTTTTCCCATGTGCTGCTGACCAGGATGCTCTCTTCAATCCTAAACACATGGCCTTGATTTTTCCTGCACAAAAGAAGGACTTTGATCTGCTAATGTTGAATTGATCTGACTGGGGTCTGATTATTAATCGAGCTTGTTGAGAGCTTGTTGAATCCTGATCCACTCCTTTAGGATGATGTTTCTCAACCATGGGAATTTTAAGATATGCGGAGAAATATTTTAATATACTTTAAGTTGTGTTGTACCAAATCTCAAAGGCAAATAGAAAGAATTTCAAACAGTACATCTTTGGATAGAGATGATTACATAATATTTATATGATTTCTAATCATTTACTGAACAAGCCCTTCTCTTCTTTCGGAGATTCTTGTGCCTCATTATATTTTCTCTCTGATTCAGATCCGGCCTGAATAGGATAATGTAGCATTTGGGGAAAAAGATGCAAGCCAAGAGACCAGCCCCAGAGGCCAAGATGGAGAAGATTTCCACGGCCACCATGGACTTCCCTTTGGTGCTCAGGTAGGTGGGGAGGAAGCTGATCCAAACACTGCAAAAGATCAGCATGCTAAAAGTAATGAACTTGGCTTCATTAAAGCTGTCAGGCAATTTCCTAGCTAGAAAGGCCGTGATAAAACTGACAAAGGCCAGAAAACTCAGATAGGCGAGGACAGTGTAAAACATTGAAGTTGAGCCTTCGTTACATTCCAAGATGGCCTCTCCTACCAAGGAGTGGAAGTCCATGTTGAGAAATGGGGGAGAGGTTGCCAGCCAGGTGGCACAAAGAAGTGCTTGGACCAGGGGACAGGCTAAGACAATGGAGTTGGTCAGAGATTTTCCTAAGAGTTTCTTAGTCCTATTTCCAGGTTTGGTAGCCATGAAGGCCAGAACCACCATGACAGTTTTTGCCAAGACAGAAGAAACCGCAAGGGAAAAGAGGATGGCAAAGGCAGTTTGTCGGAAGAGACAGGTGAGCTTCCCAGGTCGACCAATGAAGAGGAAGGAGCAGAGGAAGCAGAGCAGGAGGGAGACCAGGAGGATGTAGGTGAGATCTCGGTTGTTGGCCTTGACAATTGGTGTGTCACGATGTTTAAGGAAGATTTCCAGCACTCCCAATGTGATGGTGGAGAGAGAAAGTGTGAGCAAAGCTAAAGCATATCCCAGGGGGTCTTGATAGGCAAGGAAGTGGATCTTCTTGGCAATGCACTGGTCCTTATCCTTGTTGGGATATTGGTCTTCTGAGCAGGGATCACAGTGAGGTGCATCTGAAATCAAGAGCCAGTGTGCATTTCATGGTGTATCAAAAAGGGCAAATAATCTTTTAATACTGAAAACCCTGTGGATACATTAGCCAAAGGAAAGGATGATTTCAGCTCTTTGGCTCAACTTCTCTGCTTTGTATTTTACATCTATTAATTCAGACTTTCTTTTGAAGAAAAGGGCAGGCAGACATAGCTAGATCGATGTTCTCTTTCTCCAATGGGTCTATCAATTTCCTGGGAGACTGAGAGGGCTGACAGAAGAACCACACCTGAAATAATGAACATTAAACCTTGAACCTCACACTCCTCTCCTTCCTGAAGAAATTGGCAGCTGGATTTCCCAATGGGTTGTAAAGAGAAGGAGTAGAAAGTCTAGTAGGGAATCCATGAATTCTGCCCTGAAACTATCCTGCATTAAATTGCTGAGGAGCAGGAAAGGTGGGGCGGGGGTGGGTGGGGTGGGGGAGGACAGTTTTGATCTATAAACTCAGAGTTTCTGCTGAAAAGTATGAATATGTTGAAAAATGTAATCTGCCAAAAAAGGCAGATAAGTCGATATTTGTTTCTACTGAATGGCTTCCCTCATCCTGGAAGATCAACGTTTGAAGTGTGCTCTACCTGTCTGATTAGAAATGGTCCCTTCTGGACAAGGGGCACATTGGTAGCAGCAAACCTGCTCGCCCTCTGGAACTCTCCTCCTCTCTCCTGCCTGGCACCTCTTCATGCCACACCTGGCAAAGGGCACCTTCTAAGAGAGAAAAGAAAATTCGTTGATATGGTCTAAGCCAGTGGTCCCCAACCTTTTTAACGCTGCGGCCCGCTGAGCGCGCGCAGGGGTGGGGCCACGGCCCAGGAGCTTTTGCGCATGGCCCAGTGTGCAAAAGCGGCCGGGGGACATGAACGCTGCAGCGCAAAGGCTCCTGGGCCGTGCGCTGCAGCGTTCATGTCCCCCGGCCGCTGCGCGGCCCGGTGCCAGGTACTCCACGGCCCGGCACCGGTCCGCAGACCGGGGGTTGGGGACCACTGGTCTAAGCAATGAGTGTGCTTCATTTGTGCATTTCTGTTTCCAATATCAGAATGACTTCAAACGACATGGTTAACTAGACTACTAGAGTCTATCAGAATCCAGGAATAGTTAAGGCCAGTTTCACTTCAAACTACCAATGGATGCTGGAGATCGGAACTGGGACTTGGCATGCAAAAGCAGCACATGAATTTATTGGACCTTCCAGCTCACCTTTCTTGCCCAGACAATTGCATCAGAATTGAGGGTGAAATCCTGGCCTGGGGGAGCCCCAAGATCTATTTGTCCAACTTTCACAGGGTCAAAAGATAAATTGGGGAAGAGAACCCAGTTGAGAAGATCATAGCGACCAGATCCAAGTCCATTTTCTGAGAAGGAGATTTCATCTCCAGCACTGTTGTTGAACTGGACTTTCCCCAAATAGGGAAGAAGCTGAAAGAAAAGAGAGAAATTCAGAAATTGGAGTAATAGGTTGAAAGACTGAAATGAGACATCATGCCTTCTATCCTTTTGTGATGGCCATCAGGGGATTTGTTTATATCTGGGACTCTTGAACAATTTCCTTGGTAGAGATCTGAACAATCAGAAGTATCACCCGATTTTTAAATATTTCCCCAAAACTTCAAATTATTCTCTTTCACTCTTTCAATTTTCTCTGTTTCTAATTTTTCTACCTGTCAGGAAATATTTCCTTAATTCTACGTTGGATCTCTCTTTGATAATCTTCCACCCGTTACTTCTTGTCTTGCCTTTGGGTGCTGTGCAGAGGGGTCACCAACCTTTTGGACCTCAGGGACCACTAAATTCATAATTTTAAATCCCATGGACCACTAATATAATCTGCCTAATGACTGGCTGGGTGGGCGTGGCTAGGTGGTCATGTGACTGGGAGGGTGTGGCCAACTCCTTGCCTCCCCGTCCCGGCTCCTTAGGGCCCCAACAGGAAGCAGTTGTTGGAGCTAAGCAGCCACTGCGAGAAAGAATTGGCAAAAGAGCTCAGTTCAAATTGGATCTGACCGAGAAGGAGGGTCAGTAGAAGCACCTCACTGAGGACTAGGAGCATAGGCTTTCCAAGCAGAGGGAAGACCTGTGGGAGCGCAAGGCCAGGTACCGGCGCCTGGAGGCTCAGCGGGCTGAGATGGTCAGCCAGTTCCAGACCAGGATGCAGTCCCACTGGAACGAGGCCCTCCAGCTCTTTGCCACCAGTGGCACTTCCCTTCAACCTTCACCCAAAGCCCCCCACCAGGAGGCTGAAGCAGACCCCAAGTCAGAATTTCTGCCCCCCTCTGCCCCACACCAAAAGACCCTGAAGGGGGAGACTCTCTGCAGCAACACAAACATTAATTGCATGTATCCGTTCCAGGGGCCATAGTTTGAGGACCCCTGATTTAGTGCAATATTAAAAATGCAAATAATTTTTCTGTAGATCACCAAAATTTTCTCACGGACCACCGTTTGGTGACCACTGCTTTGGAGTATAGGTGGACCCCGTCTTCTCTGTGACATTACCTGCCACGACTGGACATTTGAGATCCTCTTTCCAAGTCTTAGCATGGCTGGTCGCCCTCTGGATCCATGCATGGCATGTAATGCGTGTGCCACAGCATAAATGGCATTGTAGATATTGTAACTTTCTCCTGTCATGCTTGTTTCAAAAATGTAAGAAGGCAGATTCTGTAAATTCTCCTTTCCTGTACATGGTTTTTCCCCCTTTGGAGGGTTGTCGCCTGGTTTGTGGATCCTGCAGCGAAAGACCTTTTCCCACCATATTGGGAGGAAAACATCCCCTCGTGGGTTCAAAGGGTCTAAAGACATGAGGAAACGGCTGAATTCTGAGATATCCCCGGTGTGGTCCTTAAAGTGCAAAGCCCCATGGAAGGGCTTTATAACAAGCAATATGTATTCAGAGTTCATCACATTAAGTTTCCAACTGGATGTAAAGATCCAGACTTTCAGAAATGATGTATTTCTCCGGGCTTCATAAGCCAACACAACCACTTGTACATTTGCAAAAGTGCTGGTGTCTCCAAACACAATAATCACTTCACCTTTAGACCAAATGTTGAAAATATGAAGCAATTTCTTCCCTGGCAGAGCATAAAAATCAGATCTCATCATTTCAGTGAAGGCCAAACAGATCTCCTTCTCCTTCAGCATTGGCATCAGAGATGAGATGAAACGTTCTCCATTGTCATCTTCAGAGGCCACCAGCCCAACCCAGTTCCACTGGAAATACAGGAGAAGCTGGACTAACCCCACATACTGGGTAAATTCCTTGGGATTAATTTGGAAGAAGGAAGGATAAACTCTTCTGTCTCCCTGAAGGAACTCAAAGCCAACACCAAGCTGGAGAAAGTGAGAATCTTCTTTCAAAGACAAACATTATATGGTGGATTGTCCTACCAGTCAGGCTGACTCAACTTGAGGGGCAAGCTTATATTTCACCCCTTCTTAGGAAGAGGCACCAGTTCCCTGATTTGCCTGGTTGTGATAGATCAGAGGCCAAAGGAACAAAACATCAACCTTGATACAGAAAATACCATATTTTTCGGAGTATAAGATACTCCAGACTGTAAGATGCACCTACCTTTTTTGGTGAGGAAAACAAGAAAAAGAAATCTGCCTCTGCCTCCCAGCAATTTTGCCTCATTGCAGCAAACAGCAAACAGCCTGCTTTACTTTCATTTTCGTTTTCAGCATAGCTTGATTAGCACAAGAAAGAAAAAATCTCCTCCCAGCAATTTACCTCCTTGCAGCAAGCAGCAGAGGCCCACGCAAAACAGCTGAGAGCAAAATAGCTGAGGGTCGGGAGGCCAATCCAACCAACAATCAACTTGTGCTAATTAGGTTGTATTGAAGCTGAAATGGGCTGTTTCTTCTTGCTGCTTGCTGCAAGGAGGTAAATTGCTGGGAGGCAGAGGCCAAAGGATGGGGGCCAGTGGGTGAGTGGGGCTACATTGGTGTATAAGACACACCCAAATTTTCACGCCCTTTTAGGGGGGGAAAGTGCATCTGATATTCTAAAAAATACGGAAAACTGCACTTAAAGTTGCAGAAAGATGATAAACTTCTATGAAAGTCAGGAAGTAATTTCTGTCAAGGAATGGCAAAGCAGCTGTCCATATGAAATCGGAGACACTGACACAAACTTGTAGTCTTTTATATAAATATATTTAATGTTCAAATTTACAGCAGTCTTTGTCATCATCCAGAAAGAAAAAAACATAAGATTGTCAGGAATACAGGAACATCGTGAGGTAAATCGAACAGTATACAGAACACATAGAAGAAAAAGGCAGGGAAAAAAGGGAAACTCCCCCTTCACACCCACCGCAACCAATCACCGCATAGATTGCCTCAAGCATGAGCAGACAAGATAGCCAGAAACACAGGAACATCATGAGGTAAATTAAACACTATACAGAATGCACAGAAGAAAAAGGCGGGAAAAAGGGAAATGCCCCCTTTATACTTACGGCAACCAATCATAGTGCAGATTGCCTCATGCATGAGTCAGCACTCTCTAACTAATCAACTACAACTGTGGTTTCCGGCCCATTGTACACTTTACTGTTTAAACTACTAAATTCAATATCCTAACAATTTCTCTTTCACAAGTATATCAATATCTCTTTCTGGCTATATAAAAATGTATCTTGATATGTAAACTATAAAAATAAATCCAACTATAGGAAGGATTATCAAAGTTATTTTGTCAGACCTTTCCTTTCATCCTTGGCTTCTGTGTCTCTTTCTGTTGTCTGACCTATTCCATATTGAATTCCCCTTACCTGGGGGACCTTCAAGATGCTGAAGATGGAGGCCATCAGCCTTGAGGATTTGGCATTGTCACCTCCAATGACAGAGAGCAGAAGGTCCTCCTGGTCACATTTATAACCTGGAACCATTTGACCTCGTGTGGAGAGCAAGAAGAGGCTGAATAAAGAACTATTCCTCTCCGTCTGGTGATTTTCATAGATGTGGAAGCCAAGGGTGATGTTGGGAAGAAGAACCAGATCCTTGTTGATTTGTTTAACGGCAAACATCAAGGCCAGGACCTGCTGGAAGTTCTTGGGTATGACTCTACAATGAGAGAAAAAAAACCCACACCATTGGGGAACATTACAAGGAAGCTAGAGTCTGCTGGTAGAGTTTGAGTTGCCATATTTTTGGTTTAGTCTGCAACAGCAAGTCCCAAGTTTCATTGAGTCCTTGATTAAACTTCTATGGCTTGGTGAGGAAGGAGAAAGGCTCTTTCTCCATATCATGGACCATTTTATACGATTCCATCACCCTCCATTCTGAACTTTGCTTTAGTGAGTGTAATTGAGTCATTCTTGGAGCAGCTTCTTCAGGTCAGGTAACCATTGCTGACCACAAGAGTCCAGTGGGTGGATCACAGCACAGATTTACTGAAGTCCATTATTCATGAGAGAAATGCTGATTTCTAAAGTGAGGGATTTTGGCAGTACCCATCACTGGAAAAGGACTGAGCTTGTACGTTTCTTTAACCATGATTTTAAGTCCAAATTAGTATTATATGACAACTTCTTCACTAGGCCAGCAGAGTCTCTAAGGTGTTTTCCCTCCCCACTTTTATATGCATGATAATCATCCCGATGAAGACTTCTGCAAAGATGGGAATTCTTGAGTTGGGCTCCTTATTGAGAGAAGGACAAAGATCCAAACTACACAAGGACATTGCAAACATCCCCAGAACAATTATTTCTGAAAGAAAGAACCCTGAACCCAAAACAAAGAAAACAGTCATCTAAATATTTCCCCTCCAGGTGAAACTTACAAGAATTTATGACTAAGCAGGAACGGGTCATTTTGAAAATCTGGGGGAGCGAATAACATAGGAGCTGCCAGCGGTAAATTCCCCCCAATAATCAGGACACCAGGCCTGTAATATTCCCACTGATTCTGAAAGTTTAAACCCTTTTGGGACGCACACATGCTTTGAGTCTTCTTAGCAATAGTTGGAGGCAGGAGCCAGAAAAGCAACAGCAGAAGCAGGAGAGGCAACCCAGCCATTCTCCTTCTCACCTTCCCTGCTTCTGCAAAATCAAGGTTTGCAGAAGCTGAATTGCAGGGAGCTCTTGAAACCTCTGCAGATTTACATAGTTTAGGCTGCCTTGCCAGCTGGATGGCCTCAGGGCAATTTTATCTGAAGTCCTTTTGTATTAAGATATCTGTATCCCCCTATCTAGCCTATTCTGAAGTTAGACAGTTGTATTTTAATTTATTTTAATGATAGTCTCAAGAATAATCAAGCAACAAAATACTATTATATCAATCACGCCTTCTCTTACCAGTGTTTTGGCATTGACGCAAAGGGCAGCTGAGCCTCACCAAAGCTCAGAGTTAGCTCTTTGGAAGACCAGACAAGATTCTCCACCAGTGACAGAATTCAGGGCATATTTTTGAAAATAGGTTTTTCCTTGGAAGGTTTTTGTGGGTTGAAATCCACAGGGGACCCATTGTGAACTACTGTTCTTCTGATAATTGCAGGGAAAAGCAATTGTACTACCCACTCAGCAATAGATGTTTGCACATCAGGTGGGGAAAAACATGTTTCTGTCCCTTGTAGCTAATCCACAGAGCAAATGGTCTTGAGAATCAAGCTGAATTTGACTTTTTGACCTATCTGAAAGTGAACACCTGCGCAGAAAATGGAGTTTGGCCTGTGTCCTAGTAGGTTCAGATAGGATGGGTGCTGATGGGGCATGGTGGCAGTCAGGTGTCCTCCAGGAAGCGTGAGCAACCATGTCAATATTTAGATGGAATAATTGGTGTAGTCATATGCACAAGACAGGGGATGGAGTGGATAGATTGATAAAATTTATATGGCCACCCATCTCACGCAAAGTGGTTCTGAGCAGCATACAAGAGTCCAATGAAAACTGTAAAAAGCCCCATATAGAACTCATTGCAATAGTCCGACCAGGAGGTGACCAGAGCATCCTTCATCCAGGAATGGGTGCAACTGGCACGTAATCAAAGGTGTGAAAAGACCCTCCTAGCCACAACTGTCATCTAATCCTCAAGCAGGAGTTATGAACCCAAGAGGACCTCAAATTTCTCACAGGGTCTTTTTGGGGCAATGCAGCCTAACCCAGCACCATTGATTGTGTAGTCCTCAAACTAGAGGACTTTAAAACCGTAAGCCACTCAGCCTTGCTGGTGTTCAATTGACGCCTGTTCTTCCCCAGGCAGATACTCATAGCCTCCAGACAGCAGGACAGGACATGCACAGCGCTGCGTATTTTACCCGAAGCAAAGATGCGCAATTAGTATTGGATGTCATCAGCATATCTTGGATACATCACTACATGGAGATGGATGAGCTTACCCCACCGTCTCATGCAGATGTGAAATAAGAGAGGGACAGCAATGACCTCTGTGGCACATTAAGAAGGTCCAGGCTGGAGTTTCTCCTTCCCGATCCCAATTGAGTCAAGTAAGACGAGGATGGACATAGTATCTTAGCTGTTCCTAGCACTTCACTCTTCTGGACCCAGAGCTCTCCTGTTGTTCCTGGAATCTGCTGGAGCCCCTCTAACAGTTTAGGAACCACAGCTCAAATTGTCCCTATCACTATAACCATTTTGGCCTTGACTTTCCACATCCTCTCCAGTTCCTCCTTTAGTCCCTGGAACTTCTCCAGCTTCCCATCCTCCTTCTTCCTGATGTTGCTGTCATTTGACGTGGCTTCATCTATCACCACCCCGTCTTCTTCTCTATGACCTCTTCGTCTGGTTGATTGGCCAGGACCTGCCAGCCTGCTTTGATCTGGAAGTCCCACAGGATCTTCGCCCTTATTCTTCTCCACAACTTTGTGTGAAATATCACAACTGGGCTTTGGAAAGTTTAGCCCATACACGGTGCATATGTTCCTGTTCCAACTGCTTGGTAGTGTCATTCAGTGTATGCTATCCCTGCCTGCATCTTACACCCTGCCATTGTGTGTTGGTCTGTCTCTGAGGCTGGATGCAATATTCAGGTGTGATCAAACCAATGTAGAATATGTAGGAGCCATGATTCCTTTTGTTGCTGACACTCTATGTATGTTGCTACAGCAAGGACTAGTGGGATTGAGGTTCAGGTATATCAACCGATGCAGAGTGTCAGCTCATCTTCAGCTTGTGATTCATGAAGACCTAGAGATCCTTCTCACATGTGCTATTGCCCATGAAGCTCTTCTCAATCCTAAACATGTGCCTTTGATTTTCCCTCCACAAAAGAAGGACTTGGATAGGTCCATGTTGAATTGATCTGTTTGGATTCTGATTATTAATCCAGCTTGTTGAGAGCTTCTTGATTCCGATTCAATCCTCTGTGACGATGTTTCTCAAGCATGGGAATTTTAAGATATGTGGACTTTGACTCCCAGATTTTCCTAACCAGCAAGCTGGATGGAAAATTCTGGGGGTTGAAGTGCACAATTGTTAATGTTGCCAAAGTTGAGAAATATTACTCTAAGATATTATTTCCTTCCCATAATTTTTTGTTAACTGCCAATATAATAAACGTATGTTTTAATTTATCGTCCAAGTCGTTTTTAATATGTTGAAAAGCACAGGGCTTAGGAAGAAACCTTCAACGTTGAAGTCTCCCTCTAGCTTCAAGTATGCTGTATTTCAGAACATTTATTCAACTAGCTCATAGCCTCATCATTCAGCCCCCATTTTGCTCTCTTCTCTACTGGGATGAGATGGAAGATACTGCCCAATGCTTTGCTGGAGTCCAGGTACAAAATGGTCATTGTATTCCCATGGTCAAGTCACCTGATTATTTTATCCCCCAACCCCCCCCCAAAGGTCCAAATTGTTTTGACATGACTTATTGAAAAACTCCTGCTGGCTCCTTTCAAACATTGCAGGGATAATAAAGTAAGAAGCACAGAAAGGATAAGAAACACACAGTAATATCTACATGATCTTGTTTATTAATAAAGCATCTTTCACAATTAATAGAGAGTAAATTAATGTACCACATGTAAGTTCTAGATTTTTTTAATGAAAAAAAAATCTAATACTTCATTGAATGTAAAATTTAGTAGGAACTCAACAAAATCTCAGAGATCTAAAGAAATGAGCATGCTTAAAAACACTTGCAGCGAACCTAACCCAAAATATATTTAAAGATTTTTTTGATGAAAATAAAGTGGGAAACTGTTGTGGTAGAAACGAATATCCACATCCTTAAAATATCTGTTTATTTCCAAGTTGATCTCTGGGGCCTCAGAGGGGATAAATGAAACTAATGAAAACTAAAAATTGGTTGCTGGGTGATGGTTGCTGATTAAGAGATAGCTTGAGATTAGTTACTTCATTTGATTTCTAACTATTTAATGGACAAGACCCTCTCTCATTTTATCACTTTTTAGAAATCAGATCAAATACAAAAAATAAAAATAAAAATCCCAAAATCAAAACAAAAGTTCCCAATTTCCATATAAATCAGAGATTCGTCTGCCTCATTAAGTTCTTTCTACAATTCAGATCAGGCCTCAATATGATAATATAACATTTGGGGAGAAAGATGCAAGCCAAGAGACCAGCCCCAGAGGCCAAGATGGAGAAGATCTCCACGGCCACCATGGACTTCCCTTTGGTGCTCAGGTAGGTGGGAAGGAATGAGATCCACACACTACAAAAGACCAACATGCTAAAAGTAATGAATTTGGCTTCATTAAAGCTGTCAGGCAATTTCCTAGCCAGAAAGGCCACTGTGAAACTGATGAGGGCTAGAACACTTAGATAGGCGAGGACAGCATAAAACATTGAAGCTGAGCCTTCATTACATTCCAAGATGGCCTCTCCTACCAAGGAATGGAAGTCCATGTTGGGAAATGGGGGAGAGGTTACCAGCCAGGTGCCACAAAGAACTGCTTGGACCAGGGGACAGGCTAAGACAATGGAGTTGGTCAGTGGTTTTCCTAAGAGTTTCCTTGCATTGTTCCCTGGCTTGGTGGCCATGAAGGCCAGAACCACCATGGCAGTTTTTGCCAAGACAGAGGAAACTGCAAGGGAAAAGAGAATGGCAAAGGCAGATTGTCGGAAGAGACAGGTGAACTTTCCAGGTCGACCGATGAAGAGGAAGGAGCAGAGGAAACAAAGCAGGAGGGAGACCAGGAGGATGTAGGTGAGATCTCGGTTGTTGGCCTTGACGATGGGTGTGTTGTGATGTTTACGGAAAATAATCAGAACTGAAGATGTGATCAGAGAAAGGAAAAGTGCCAGAGAAGCTAAAATGTATCCAAGGGTCTCTTGATAGCTGAGGAAGTGGATCTTCTTGGCAATGCAGTGCTCCTTGTCCTTGTTCGGATACTGGTTTTCTTGACAGGGGTCACAGTGGGCTGCATCTGAAATCAAGAGCCTTTGTCAAAGGATTTCTGGGGCATCTGCCATGAATATTATCATTTCCACATGTTAACACAATTTTTCCCTTTCTGTCACAGACAACACACAAAGCTCCTGATGGAATGACTCACTGTACACTTTATGATGCACCAAAAAGGGTAAATCGCTTAAAAATTTAAAATTAACTATGGCAACCTCTTATAAAGAGAATATTTATAAGATAGTTTATCGATGGCACCTACCTCCAGCAAGATTAGCTAAAATGTTCCCCGGGACATCTTCAGTGCTGGAAATGTGGGCATAGCAATGGAACTTACTTCCACCAATGGTGGACATGCCCGCTGGCAGCTAAATATTGGATGAAAATACGACGATGGTTGTTTGAAATTACACACTGTAGAGTGGAACTGAAACTGGAAACTTTTTTGTTGGGGCTTAGACCCGCAAATATTGGATTGACTAAATGGTATTTGATGCTGCATATAATTACTGCAGGGAGACTGGCATTCACACAAGAATGGAAGAATGAGGATTTACCAACAGACGCAAAAATAATTTATAAAATCATGGAATGTGCAGAGTCTGACAGACTTACAAAACTGATCAAGGGTAAAAGAGACTCAGACTTTTATGGTCTGAGTCTCTTTGGAATATGTGGTATGACTGCACCCAGAAACGATGGGAGAGAGACAAAGGATAATGTTGGATTATAATTATAGATGATTGTATTGTATTTTTATGGTAATCAATAAGTATTGGAAAGGTAAATTTGTACACAAGAATCTGTAAATATTTTCTATTTTTACTCTGATTACTGGTGTATATATATATGGATATTTTGGCGATGTTACACCGTGATAGAAAAATTATTATACATTTGTTTTTGATTTTTCTTTTTGATTCTTTAAAAAAAATTTATTAAAAAAAAAGGGGGGGAAGTCATCCTTCATGACTCTGGGGATAGCTTACCTAGAGATCAAGAATATCAAGATTTGAATAATGTTCTACCTATCTGATTAGAAATGGTCCCTTCTGGACAAGGGTCACATTTGTAGCAGCAAACCTCTTCACCCTCTGGAACTCTCCTCCTCTCTCCTGCCTGGCACCTCTTCTTGCCACACCTGGCAAAGGGCACCTTCTAAAAGAGAAAAGGGAAATGCTTGAGGTACATGGAGTCCATCATACTACGTAACAGTAACAGAGTTGGAAGGGACCTTGGAGACCTGCTCACACAGGAGACCTGTACTAGGGATTCGAACTGATGAACTGCCAACCTTTCTGATCAACAAGCTCAGTGTCTTAGTCACTGAGCCACCAGCAATGAACATGCTTCACGTATCCATTTCCACATTCCCATTTTCCTATTCAGAATGTCTTCATAAGAAATGGTTCACTTGGGTCCAAGAGAAACCAGGAAAAGCTCCTGGGGGTACTCAGACCTCTGGCACTCTTGACTCATCGATGGAGGCTGAATGCGAATCTTGAAGCTCAGCATGCAAAGAAAGACTTGTGACATTGAGCTACAACTTTTCTAAACCAAAGAATGATGACGATTCAGTTGAACACGAATGGTCCATGGGAATCTCTGCCTGATTTAACTGCATCCTGGGTTTCATGCAGAAGTATTTCTCATTCCCACCCATTGTTGACCTGTGAGCTCTGGTGATACAGTGGTTAGAATGCAATATTGCAGGCTTATTCTGCCAACTGCCAATAGTTTGATCCTGATCCTGAGTCAAGGTTTATTCAGGCTTCCATCCCTCCGAGGTTGATAAAATGAGGATCCAGATTCTTGGGGGCAAGAGACTGACTCTGTAAACTGCTTAGGGAGGGCCGTAAAGCACTGTGAAACTGTATATAAGTGCTATTGCTATTGCAATTGTTGGACCTTTCACAAAGAATCTATTAACATCAGATTTTTTAAAATCAAAATTTGAAAATATTTTCTCATTCTATAGGCCTGCTTTCAGCTAAGAAGGGTATTCAGCATCATCAGGAGAGACTGATTCTTTCCCCAAATTTACAACACTTCCTTCCAACTTACCTCTCTGACCCAGATGATGACATTGGAGTTAATGGTGAAATCCTGGCCTGGGGGAGCCCTGGGATCTATTTGTCCAACTTCCACTGAGACAAAAGATTGATTGGGGAAGAGAACCCAGTTGAGAAGATCGTAACGAGGAGATCCCAGTCCATTCTCTGAGAAGGAGATTTCCTCTCCAGCACTGTTGTTGAATTGGATGCTCCTCAAATAGGGAAGAATCTGAAAGAAGAGAGACCTTCATAAATTGGATTAATCGGCTGAAAGGCAGAAACAGACATTATGGCTTCTATCATTCCGTGATGTCCACCATCTTGTAGGTCTGAGAAGCAAGAGACATTCTTTGGTTGAGATATGAGCAATCAGCAGTCACACCAAGGATTTGACCCATTTCCCAAGAGTACAAAGGATTCTCTGGGCATTTTTATTTAGGCTTCTTCAACTCCATTTTTAACCCAAAGTCAGAATTACCTACATATAAAGATTTTAAAAACACACCTCAAATTTTATTCCATAATTTTGCTCCTGTGATACTTCGCTAAATATATATTTTTAAATGATTATTTTGGCCCAATGTCTGGTGCATGAAAAATACATTTTTTGAATGATTAAATCATTTATATCAGTATAATATATAGATCTGCTGAATTCTTTTTATCTCTTTTATTCATTAAACCTGAAACTCAGTCAACTGTGCATTTAAACAGTTTGAATGCATTCAAAAATGCATCACAAATACCATTGACTGGTGTTAATGGTTGATTACGGGTTGCTGCCAGCATCCTAGGTATCAACCAAGTATCTTCTTAAAATATATGATGTTTTTTGCAGTTCCGCTGGTGTTATTGCAGGAAGCTGCAATTTCTTGATGTGTTTTGTAAAATTCTTGGACATGGTACCAAGTGCCCCAATGACAATGGGTATCACTGTTACATGTTTCATCCATCGTTGTGTAGTTTTGATGGCCAGGTCATGATATTTCGTGATTTTTTCCAGTTCTTTTTCTTCAACTCTGGCATTTCGTGGTACAGCGACATCAATAAACTGTATGCTTTGGCCCTCAACAACCATGATATCTGTCTTCTTCTTCTTCTTCTTCTTCTTCTTCTTCTTCTTCTTCTTCTTCTTCTTCTTCTTCTTCTTCTTCTTCTTCTTCTTCTTCTTCTTCTTCTTTCTTCTTCTTCTTCTTCTTCTTCTTCTCTTCTTCTTCTCTCCTCCTCCTCCTCCTCCTCCTCCTCCTCTCCTCCTCCTCCTCCTCCTCCTCCTCCTCCTCCTCCTCCTCCTCCTCCTTCTAGTTTTTTATTAATTTATAATATGGCATAGAAAGAGAATACAAAAGTAAATATTAGGGAAATTCGGAAAAGGAAAGGGGGAGTGGGTAGTGGATGAAAGCAAAGGAAACAGAAAAAAAAAGGCATTGACTTCCGACTCCTTTGGTGCAGTAAAATAAGGCATTAACATCTATCCTCAACTTTTTACTTTTTCATAGTAATGGAAACTAGCCTCTTCTATAACAACAAATCTATCTAAATGGTAAAACCCAAAATCAAAGTTTCATTTTTTTCCACCTTAAGCACAAAGTCCGGAAGTGGTTTCCAAGTAGAAATAAAAGTATTTGTATTTTTTTCCTTGATCAAAACAGTCAATTTAGCCATCTCTGCTAACTCCACTAGTGTTTGCAGCCATTCATCCATTGTGGGAGCGAGGTGACCTTCCATTTCTGTGCGTAGAGTAGTCAACATGTATAACATCAGAGTTCTGAATTTTGTTTCCAAGTCTTGTTCCATTAAACCCAAAAGAAAAGTCTCTGGTTTTCTTTCTATATTCACTTTAAGAATTTTCTGTATTAAGATATGAATCCTATTCCAATATTTCTTTGCTTTATCACACATCCACCATAGGCAATAAAAAGTTCCTTCTTTCCATTTACATTTCCAACATTCATTTGAAGTACCTTTATACATTCTTGACAACGTATCTGGAGTTAAACACCAATGATGCATCATCTTATAGAAATGTTATTCTGGGCCCATAACCAATGTTAAGGATATTGTTGTGTTAACAACCAGCAGAGTGTAGAGCACATGGAAACGGTGCTGAGAGCAATAATGAATAAAATACATACAAACTGGTTTATCAAAGTTTTTACTTTGTAGTGAAAAACAATCTCATAGCCTTTAATCAATCCAAGTCTTTGCCAGTCAAATCAGTCCAGTGATACAAAAGTCTTCTTACCATACAAAACAGCAGTAGATAATAAATAGCAGTACATTCATGCTGGTAACAGGTCACGATGGTAGCATATCCACCCACGATGATAGCATATCCACACACGATGGTAGCATATCCACACACGATGATAGCATATCATCAATGACTACATTTCAGCTCCCTTCTTAAATACAGTTACAACAGAGCTTATCCAATCAGGATACAATGATTCAGCATTACAATGACTCAGCATTACAATGACTCAGCAGTACTTCTTAAAGTCATACAATACATATTCATGTTAAATCATAGAACACATATATTGTCCATATATTGCCTGTACAACCTGTTAGGCTTACACCATATCCTAACATATTCTATTCTATTCTATTCTATTCTATTCTATTCTATTCTATTCTATTCTATTCTATTCTATTCTATTCTATTCTATTCTATTCTATTCTATTCTATTCTATTCTATTCTAATTTCACCTTTTTCTCAGCCCTAAAATCAGACTTTTAATCAATGTATCCCCATCTTGTGTGGTCATATTCTTAATCAGCATTGATGTTTTTCTGCTTATTTATTTTGAAACCTGCTAAAGACCCAAACTCCTTTAATTTCCTCTTCAAATATTTTATGTTTTTTGGGGGGGTCTTACAGAAATATCACCAAGTCATCAGCAAAAGCCCTCAGCTTATAAACTTAATACTTATACCTCTTATTTTCTCATCTTGCCTGATATCTCTATTCAAGACTTCCAACACCAGGATAAGCAGTAAAGGAGACTAAGGACATCCTTGTCTTGTACCCTTTCAGATTTCGCATGTGTTAGTTAAGTCTCCATTAATAACAATTTTTGCTTGCTGTGATGTATAAACAGCTTTGACCCCTTGGATAAGATTCCCACCAAAGTCCATTTCTTCCAGGACTTTAAACATTTTAAAACATTTTAAACATTTCTTTCAGGACTTTAAACATAAAGGCCCAATTTAAGTTGTCAAAGGCCTTCTCTGCATCTAAGAATATTAAAGCTGCCTGTTCTTCATTATGATACTGTAAGTATTCTATAATATTCTAGACAGTTCTCACATTATTCCTTAGCTGTCTTTTTGGCAGAAATCCAGATTGATCATCATGAAACCTGTAAACCGTTTTTTAAATCTTTCTGCCAAAACAGCAGCAAATAATTTATAAACCTTATTTAATAGTGAAATTGGTCTATAATTCTTTATCATCGTGACATTTATTTATTTATTTATTTATTTATTTATTTATTTATTTATTTATTTATTTATTTATTTATTTTATTCAATTTGTATCTCGCCCTTCTCCTAGTGGACTCAGGGCGGTGCACAGCCAGAACTAAAACATCCTGACCCTCCTTACAATATTAGCTTCTTTCCAAGTTGTGGGAATCCTTCCCCCCTGTAAAATATCATTCATTATATCCTTTAATGGCTGAAGAAATTTGTCTTCAAAACATTTATAATATTTACTTGTAAGCCCACCTGGGCCAGGAGCTCTACCTGTTTTCATTTTTCTTATAGCTTCTAATATTCCAAAGGTAGCTATTGGTTTTCTCTGAGTTTGTTCATAAGTTGTCTCTGAGTTTGTGAAAGTTTCAGCAAGTGTTGTCTTAGCAAATACTCATCTATTTTTTACTTATCTGACTCCTGCATTTTATACAAGTTAGAGTAAAAGTTATGAAACAATTTTTTAATTTGCTCATTATCAGTTATTACATTATTGCCTTCACGAATTTTTTCAATCATTCTCTTTTCCCTTTCCTTTCTTAGTCTACATGCCAACCATCTTCCTGCTTTTATTTCCAAACTCAAATGTCTTTGCTTCACATCATTCAATTTCTTAAACTGTTAGCATAGACAGTTGTTGGTGTAACAAATTAATTATTAGCACTAAATTATCTATCTTCTCAAAAAAATGAGGGTTTGATCCCCTTAGTAGATGTTTTATCCCAAAGTGGCAAAGTCATTCCAATCCCCCAACATAAACCAATTTTCATATGAAAAAGGCAGAAGTTGGTCCATAAGATACTCAAAAAGACCAATTACTATTGATTTTATTCCATGACATTCAGTTTCCACTATTACAAATCTGCCATAGTCATCTAATAAAAGTAACTTAGGTTTAAATTGGGGTTTTATATATAAAACCACTCCAAACTTTGCTCATGATATATAAGTATCACTGATTTCTTAGCTGATTCTCAAGGAGACAAATAATGCAGGAACCAGGTCTGGCCAGGCGGATGGAAGTGCCTGGCTTGAGTTCCCTCTTCACTGTCCAGACAGGTCCAGTGTGGAGGCTTCAAGGCAGGAAGTTTGAGGAGTTTCAGGCCAGGAACCCTTTACAACCACTTTGCTCCCTGCTCTGTCAGCTGAGGTTGATGAAGTCTCCAGTCCCCAAGAAGATGAACAGGAGAAGAAAGAGCAAAGTAAAGAAATGGGGTGGGCTCACACGGGATGCCAACTCACAGAATGTTCTGCCCCAGCTCCGAATCCCAAGGAGTGTGAAACACACCAAGCTCCAAAAACTCCGTTTATTACAAACAAACCCCTTTCAAAATGCAGGCTTTCAGTGCAAATGTCCTTATCAGCCTGCTATAAAGTACAAAGAATAAACAAAGTCCGACAAAGGTTGGCAACCAGCCCAGAAACCAAGGTGTGATAAGAAACTCACTCTCCAAAATGCTCTGCGTAATAATTAAAATGTTGTTTCCAGCAACAATTGCTAACTGCGTGCAACTTAAATAGGCTAAGGGAGTGGCCAATTAGCCCCAGCCTTACTCTCGAGGAGACCTCCTCCTCCTGAGTAGCCACTCCTGCCTTTTGGCAGCCCTGCGTGCTCGAGCATTGAGGAGAGGCTCCTCCACTTCACTCTCTGCACTTGAAGGAGCCTCTGGAGGTTCTGAAGGCCCTGGCTGAGTCTCTGCCTCTGGCACCACATCCTCTTCAGCCTCCTCGCTGTCCGACGTGAGCGCCGGCTGCGCAGGCTGCTGGAGGGCCACAACACAGAAACATCAACCAGGGTTGAAATGAACTGAGCTGAGTGTCTTTGTATCACTTTGATTCAGGCTAAACACTGAGGGAAAATGAGGAGATTCTACCAAAATGCCTACCAGGACTTCAGCTGACTTGTTGAAGCATCCTGAATAAAAGGCACGCAGATTATCATCCTGCTCAGAGCTGACCCCTCTACCCTGAAACTTGGGGAATTGTTGAAAACCTATCAGGACTGTATATGAAGATCTTTCCTCCAAGGAAATTGAGCCTTGGTGGCGCAGCAGACTAAAGTGCTCTTAAGTAGCACCAACTGCCTGCAATTACTGCAAGTTCAAATCTCACCAGGCTCAAGGTTGACTCAGCCTTCCATCCTTCCGAGGTAGGTAAAATGAGGACCCGGATTGTGGGGGCAATAAGATGACTTTGTATAAAAAAGAATACCGCTTAGGAGGGGCCAAAAAAGCCCTACTAAGCAGGTATATGCAAAAGTATGAAGGCTATTGCTTAACACATTGTAAGCCGCCCTGAGTCTCCAGAGAAGGGCGGCATATAAATCGAACCAATAAATAAATAAATAAATAAATAAATAAATAAATAAATAAATAAATAATCAACAACTGATTTAGGTTACTTCTCTTTTGCCCTCTCTATCCATTTTCAACAAAACATTCATATTATTATTTATATCACATCATATTATAAATTCATATTATTCGTATTAATTTAATTCATATTATTTTTAACAAGTGCTGTTTTAATCTGTTCCGAGATGCAGTGATATGGTAGTATCAGTAATTGAAAAAAAAAATATATGGAATCATCCTCTCTAAGGATCTGCAGACTAGATAAAATGTCCCAGAGATTACCTGCCATGATTGGACATCTGAGATTCTCCTTCCAAGCCTCATCATGGCTGGTCGAGGTCCTGATCCAAATGTTGCATGCAGTGCATGAGCCACAGCATAAATGGCATTGTAGATGTTGTAAGTTTCACCTGTCATGCTCATTTCAAAAACTAAAGCTGGAACATGCTGTACTTTTTCCTTTCCTGTACATGGTTCGAACAATTTTGAAGGGGGCATGCCTGGTTCTAGGGTAATGCAGCCAAAGATCCGATACCAAAATTCCCGGAAAAAGACATCCCCTCGGTGGTTCAAGGGGTCTAAAGACTGGAGGAAATGGGTAAATTCTGAGACGTCACCAGTGTGGTCCTTAAATTGCAAAGCTCCATGCAAGGTCTTTACACCTGTAAGTAGGTTTCCAGTCGTAGTAAATTTCCAATGAGAAGTCAGGATCCAAACATTCCGACATAACATCTCTTCATACCTTTTCATATAATAGAGAGCTGTAATTAAATTTGTCATGGTAGAGGACTCTCCAAATAGAATCCAAACTTCAGCTTTAACACAAATTTTGAAAAATACTGTCATCATCATCACCTCATAATTCTCCTCTTCCAACATTTCAGTGAAGGCCAGGCAGATCTCCTTCTCCTCCAGCATTGGCATCAGAGATGAGATGAAACGTTCTCCAGTGTCATCTTCAGAGGTCACCAGCCCAACCCAGTTCCACTGGAAATGCAGGAGCAGCTGGACTAACCCCACACACTCAGGGAATTCACTGGGATTAATCCGGAAGAAGGAAGGGTAAACTCGTCTGTCTTCCTGAGAGAACTCAAAGCCAACCCCAAGCTGCAGAAAGGGAGATTCCTCTTTCAAAGACAAAGTAAAGGTTTGATGGTGACTTCAAGGGGGGTCACCATTGTCACCAATAAATCATTGTCTGGTTTATTGCCCCACCAGCCATAAAATCTAGGATCTTCCATTCCTAGGAAGAACCACAAGTTACATGTTTTTCCTGGTTGTGACATGTTGGACACTAAAGAAGAAATCATCAGTCTGATGCAGGGAATAATTGCACTGAAATGATGACTATACTTTTATGAAAGTCAGGAATTTATTCTTCTTGGAGAGTATAGACGTTCAGAATTCTCTCACGTATCTCTTTGGCATTATATAAAAATGTATCATGAAACATAAAATATAAAAATGAGTTCAACTATACTCCTGATGTTTCCCCCAAAGCACTTTTGGCTTCTGGGTGTGCTTCAGTTGTTTTTGTACTTTATACTGAGTCCAGAGAAGCCCCCTTACCTGTGGGACCTTGAAGGTGCTGAAGATGGTGGCCATCTGCTTTGAGAATCTGGGGTTGTCACCTCCAATGACAGAGAGCAGAGTGTCCTGCCTGTCACATTTATAACCTGGAACCATTCGGTCACGAGTGGAGAGGAGGGAGAGGCAGATTATGGAATTCTCCCTCTCAATATGACGATTGTCATAGATCTGGAAGCCCAAGGTGATGTTGGGCAGGAGATCCGGATCCTTGTTGATCTCTCTGACTGCAAACGCCAAGACCAGGAACTGCTGGTAATTCTTGGGTATGGGCCTGTAGTGAGAAAAGCATTGGAGACCCTTATGGGGAAGTTCATATGTTCTGGTGGAACTTATTTTTGTGTGTGTGTTCTGTGGAAGTTCCTAGATTAGACTTTTTTTATTTTTATTTTTTTATTTTTTTATTTATTTTTATTTGATTTATATGCCGCCCTTCTCCGGAGACTCAGGGCGGCTTACAATGCGCTAAGCAATAGCCTTCATACTTTTGTATATTTATACAAAGTCAGTTTATTGCCCCCCCACAAACCGGGTCCTCAATTTACCTACCTTAGAAAGGATGGAAGGCTGAGTCAACCTTGAGCCTGGCGAGATTCGAATTTACTTTAATTGCAGACAGCTGGTGTTAAATTACAATGCCTTGTCTGCAGAGCTATCCAGGCTCTGGATTTAAAGTCATTCAGACTTGAATGACTTTGTGGGAAAGGAAAAAATCCTTCTACATATCACAAACTATTTTTATCCCTGTATCATCCCTCCCTTCTTCACTTCACTTCACTTCCAATTTCTACTCTAGCATCAATTTGTTTCTCTCTCAGAGCAGCTTCTTCTGATCTGGGAATCATTGCTGAGCACAAGACTCCAGTGGGGGTCACAGCACAGATTTACTGAAGGCCATTAGAAATAAACAGAATTCAGCCTTGTTTTTACCTTGTAAAAGTTGGTGTCCCATTCTGGAAAAGGACGGAGCTTTTATTTGAGTTTTTCCCCATGGCCTTCTGACCGGATTAATATTACAAGTCAGCTTCTTTCTTAGAGCAGCACAATTTCTAAAGTGTTGCCCCTCCTTACGTTTTATATTACCTCCTTCCTGATGAAGAGTTTTGGAAAGAATCCTAGTCTATTTTACGAGTTTAGAGTTTAGATCTTTATTAAGAAAAGCACAAAAATATGAGAACACTGCAAACTTCACTACAACAAATATTTTTAAAAGGAGTTCCTGAATCCAGAAACAAAGCAAACAATTATTTAAACCTTTTCCCACCAGGCGAAACATACATAGCTTTAAATGGAAGGCTGGCTGGGTGTTCTTTAAAATCTGGGAATTTGAGCCTAAGAATGGGTATCAGGGGCAAGTTCCCACCAATAACCAGATCACCAGGCCCGAAAGATCTGTCCAGACTCCAGAAATGGTTTTCCAACAGACATTGGATTGGAATTTTCCTAGCAGAAGTTGGAGTCAGGAGCCAGATAAGTAGCAGCAGCAGTAGATGAGGCAGCCCAGCCATTCGGGTCACCTTCTCTGCTAGGTGAGAAATCAAGGTTTGCACAGAAGCTGAACTGCAGGTGGCACTTGGAATCTCAGCAGAGCCTTAGCACAATGGAGACAGTCCATGCCACCTGGATGACCTCGGGGCAAATTTATATCCTCCATGCTTTCTTTGGGCTGTGACCAAAGAGAAAACGAAGACCAGCTGAACCTCACCAAACCCAGGAGTTGCTCTTTGCAAGATAAGACAAGGTGGCATGTCCTGCCTCCACTGGGAGAACTAAGAGCATATTTTTTTTTATCTTGTGAAGGTAGACATCTCCAGGGGATGCATTAAGAATTACTGTTCTTCTGGCAATTGCAAAGAAAAGAAATTGTCCTAACACTAGATTATTTCTTTGCATCAGAAGAGGGAAAACGTGTTTATTTGTCTCTTGTTTCTAATCCACAGAGCAAATGGATTTGAGAGTGAAGGTGAAGTTGGGTATTTGAAGGTCATGAAACTGAGCACCTGTGGCATAGTTTGTTCAGGTAGAGAGTGTGCTAATGGGGCATGGTGGCACCTGACAAATAGCTGTATCTTAGTAAGTGTGAGCAATCATACAAATGTTATTTATTTATTTATTTATTTATTTATTTATTTATTTATTTATTTATTTATTTATTATTACATTTCTATACCACCCTTCTCCCGAAGGACTCAGGGCGGTGTACAGTCATGATAAAATAATACCAACACAAAAATTAAAAAACAATTTAAAATAATTTAAAGCATTGGCCGTATTTAAAACCCCTAACTAAACCTCTTTAAAACCATTAAAACCCACTTAAATTAATTCATTCGGTCAGTCCGGCTTGCTAAAACAATAGAGTCTTCAGCGCATGACAGAAGATGCGGAGGTTGGGGATCCTCCTTATGTCTGGGGGCAGCTCATTCCATAGGGCAGGAGCCCCCACAGAGAAGGCTCTCCCCCTGGGGGTCGCAGCTGACATTGTTTGGCCGACGGCACCCTGAGGAGGCCCTCTCTGTGGGAGTGTATCGGGCGGTGGGAGGCATGTGGTGTCAGAAGGCGGTCCTGTAAGTATCCCAGTCCTAAGCCATTTGAAGATGGTGACTAGCACCTTGAAACGCACCCGGAAGACCACTGGGAGCCAGTGCAGCTCACGCAAGAGAGGTGTTACATGGGAGCGACAAGTCGCCCCCATAACCACTCGCGCGGCCACATTCTGGACCAGTTGGAGCCTCCAGGTGCTCCTCAAGGGGAGCCCCATGTAGAGTGTGTTACAGTAGTCCAGACAGGAAGTGACAAGGGCGTGAGTGACTGTGCGTAAGGCATCCTGATCCAGAAAGGGACACAACTGGTGGATCAGGCAAACCTGATAAAAAGCCCCCCTGGCCACGGCCGTCATATCATTGTCTAAAGAGAGCCGCGTATCCAGGAGGACACCCAAGTTGAGAACCCTCTCTGAGGGGGGTAAGATCTCATCCCCAATAGCCAGCGATGATACCAGCTGGCTATATCGGGGCGCCAGAGACCACAGCCACTCAGTCTTGGAGGGGTTGAGTCTGAGCCTATTCCTCCCCATCCAGATCCGCAGGGCCTCCAGGCATAGGGACATCACGTCAAGGGCATCATTGGGGTGGTCCGGGGTAGAAATGTACAACTGCATATTGTCGGCATACAGTTGACATTTCACCCCAAAACCACGGATGATCTCACCCAGTGGCTTCACATAAATGTTGAACAGGAGGGGCGAGAGGACTGACCCTTGCAGCACCCCACAAGTAAGGTGCCTCGAGGTCGACCTCTGCCCTCCCCGTCAACACAGACTGCGTACGGTCGGAGAGAAAGGAGGAGAACCACCGCAACACTGTGCCTCCCACTCCCAATCCCCCCAACCGACGCAACATGATACCATGATCGATGGTATCAAAAGCCACTGAGAGATCTAGGAGGACCAGGACTGAGGAGCATCCCCTGTCCGAGCCCTCCAGAGATCATCAACCAATGCGATCAATGCCGTTTTCATGCTGTAACCCGTCCTGAAGCCCGACTGGCACGGATCTAGATAGACAGCTTCATCCAGGTATTGAGAAAGGTGTCGCGCCACCATACTCTCAACAACCTTCGCCGCGAAGCGGAGGTTGGAGACCGGATGGTAATTAGCCAATACAGCCGGATCCAGGGAGGGCTTCTTGAAGAGAGGCCTCACTACCGCTTCTTTCAAAGCGGCTGGGAAGACACCCTCACTTAAAGAAGCATTAATAATCCCCTGAAACCAGCCTCGTGTAACCTCCCGGGAGGCCAGCACCAACCAGGAGGGACATGGGTCCAATAAACATGTGGTAGCATTGAGTCTCCCCAAAATCCTGTCCATGTCCTCAGGAGCCACAGGGTCAAATCCTCCCAGATAACATTCTCAAGATCCACCCCTATCATCCCATCCGAGGCTACCCAATCGGAGTCCAGGCCGGCCCGAATCTGAGCGATTTTATCATGCAGATATTGCACAAAATCCTCAGCTCTACCCTGCAAGGGATCATCCCGCGCTCCCATCTGAAGTAGGGAGCGGGTCACCCTAAACAGGGCAGCTGGGCGGTTCTCTGCAGATGCAACAAGAGAATTAGATTTCGCCACTCTTATTGCCACTAGGTAGGTCTTGATATAAGACCTCACCAGTGTCCAGTTGGATTCGGTGCGGCTGGCCCTCCAATCACTCTCTAGGCATCTTTTCTGGCGCTTCATCTCTCTCAGCTCCTCGGAGAACCGAGTCTTCCCATCTGCCCTGAAAGAGGCAGTGGTGAGGCCCCTCCTCAAGAAGCCTTCCCTGGACCTGGCTGTATTAACTAACTATCGTCCTGTCTCCAACCTCTGCTTTGCGGTGAAGGTTGTTGAGAGTGTGGTGGCTTGACAACTTCCTCGATTCCTGGATGAACCTGTCTATCTAGTTCCATGCCAGTCGGGCTTCAGGGTGGGTTACAGCACAGAAACAGCATTGATCGCATTGGTTGATGATCTCTGGAGGGCCCGGGACAGGGGCTGCTCCTCTGTCCTGGTCCTCCTAGATCTCTCAGCAGCTTTTGATACCGTCGATCACGGTATCATGCTGCGTCGGCTAGAGGGGGTGGGAGTGGGGGGCACCATGCTACGGTGGTTCTCCTCCTTCCTCTCTGACTGTACGCAGTTTGTGTTGACCGGGGGGGGGGGGCAGAGGTCGACCTCGAGGTTCCTCACTTGTGGGGTGCCACAAGGGTCAGTCCTCTTGCCTCTTCTGTTTAACATTGATGTGAAGCCGCTGGGCGAGATCATCCGTGGCTTTGGGTGAAGTGTCAACTGTATGCCGATGACACGCAGTTGTATATTTCTACCCAGGCCACCCCAATGATGCCCTTGACATGATGTCCCTATGCCTGGAGGCCGTGCGGATCTGGATGGGGAGGAACAGGCTCAGACTCAACCCCTCCAAGACTGAGTGGCTGTGGCTCCCGACAGCCCAATATAGCCAGCTGACACCATCATTGGCTATTGGGGATGAGATCTTACCCCCCTCAGAGAGGGCTCGCAACTTGGGCGTCCTCCTGGACTCACGGCTGTCCTTGGAGGATCATATGATGGCTGTGGCCAGGGGGGGCTTTTATCAGGTTCGCCTGATACGCCAGTTGCGCCCCTTTCTGGATCGGGACTCCTTATTCACGGTCACTCATGCCCTCATTACTTCCCGCCTGGACTATTGTAATGCTCTCTACATGGGGTTCCCCTTGAGGAGCACCTGGAGGCTCCAGCTGGTCCAGAATTCAGCCACGCGAGTAATAATGGGGGCGACTCATCGCTCCCATGTAACACCCATCTTGCGCGAGCTGTACTGGCTCCCAGTGGTCTTCCGGGTGCACTTCAAGGTGTTGGTTACCACCTTTAAAGCACTCCATGTCTTAGGACCTGGTTATCTACAGGACCGCATTCTGCCACCGATAGCCTCCCACCGAGCAGTACGCTCCCACAGAGAGGGCCTCCTCAGGGTGCCGTCAGCCAAACAGTGTAGGCTGGCGACCCCCAGGGCGAGAGTCTTCTCTGTGGGGGCCCTATGGAATGAACTGCCCCTGGACATAGAAAGGATCCCCGACCTCCGTGCCTTCCGTCGCGCTCTGAAGACCCTATTATTCCAGCAAGCTGGATTGACAGGATAACGGTTTTTAAATTGGGTTTTGATAGGGGTTTTAAAATGATCTTAGTTGGATGTTTTAAATTTGGCTGAATGATTGAATTATATTTTTTTTAAAAAAAATTATTGAAAATTATTAAAAATTACAGAAAAAAAATATAGCAATATGGATAGAATCTCCTCCATACCTCCTTCTATTATTTGGTTGGCGAAAACAGCCAAATAATAGAAGGAGGTATGGAGGAGATTATGCTGGTAATCAGCCTAAATAAAGCATGTTTTTGTGATAAATCTGTGTTACATGAAATGTGTAAAAAATGATGAGCGGGATAAAATTAAAGATAAATTGATACAGTTCAAGATATCAAGATTTGATGAAAAGGGTCAAGAGACTAAGAAATATAGATAGAATCTTGTCTTATAAATTGTAAGAAAAATTGAGTTGTATTGATTTTGAAATTAAGATCTGAGGTGATAAAATTGTAAGGTAAATAATTAGAATAAGAGATTAGAATATTGTTAAAAATTATTTTGACATTGATGGTAAAAGATATAATAAAAGCAATGTGGAGAAGAACTAGATATAATCAGGACTGATATATAGATATAAAAATGAGCTAAATTTAATTTGAAATTAAAGTTCTATTGATCTAATAGATTTACTTAGATGAAGATGCTAGAATTTATGTTAAAATTTGTTCTTTTTATGTTTTGAATCTTTACCTTTAAAATATGTAATTTGAAATTGTGAATGGAGCTTGTTAAAGGAATGTAAGCATGATAACCATCTATGACTGGATCGAGACTTTGCTCTTGAAAGTTATATTTTATGTTTATGTTTGAAAAAAAAATAAAAAAATATTTACAAAAAAAAAAGTGCTGAGTGGGTGATTCCATCAACATATTTGTGGACTGGCCACAAGAGAATGTGGACAGTCACGTCACCCCTGAGGGAATCAGGGTATATCTGATAAAGTTTTGGTTTGGGGAGTACAAAGTTCCTGAGTGTGCTTACTTTTGTTGAGTTTCTAGTTGGACTGTTGACATGCAGTTCAAGTTATTTCAGATTTTAAAGTTTCTCCAGATTTTAGTTCAGGTTATTTTAGATTTAGATCAGGCACCCACAACTTCTGAAGGGAAGTCATTCCACTAGTTAATTATTTTTGCTGTTAGGAAATTCCTCCTTAGGTCCAGGTTGCTCCTTTCCTTGGTTAGTTTCCATCCATTGCTTCTTGTCCTGCCTTCTGGTGCTTTGGAGAATAGCTTGACTCCCTCTCCCCTGGTGGCAGTCCTTCAAATATTGGAAGACTGCTATCATGTCACTCCTAGTCCTTCCCTTCTCTAGACATACCCAATGGATAATCATTGCTCTGAAATGGTATAGATTCTCTTACTTGAGCAGGGAGTTGGAGTACTAGAAGATCACCAAGATCTCTTCCTGCTCTGTTATTCTGTTATTTGCACCACCCGAATAAACTGTGGCACAGGCCAAATGCCATCTCTCTGCTTCATTGGCTCCCATGCCCAACTCCACCCTGATTCTCAAGTCCATTTGCTCTGTGGATGAACAGAAAGAGGCAGAAACCTGTTTTTCCCTTTCTGACATATGAAGAAGAGCCACTGTTCAGTAGATAAGGGAATGGCTTTTTCTTTCAATGATCAGGAGAACAGTAATTCTTGGTGTATCCCCTGTGGATTTCCTCCTCCTCCTCCTCCTCCTCCTCCTCCTCCTCTTCCTGGTGTTTTCCTCACATGTGCAGAGCCAGCTATTCCAAGATAAAACCTGCTATAAAAATAGGCTCTTAATTCTCCCAGTGGGGGCAGGACATGTCACCTTCTCTTGTCTTGCAAAGAGCAAACTCCTGGCTTTGGGGAGGCTCAGCTGGTCTTCGATTTCTCAAAGACTTTCGAGATTTCTTATTTCTTATTTGTGGTTGGTCACAGCCCAACCACCAATAAGAGCAAGCACAGTTGATTCATCTATGGGACCTTCCAGGTAGCACAGCCTATTTCTATTGTGCTAAAGCTGTGGTGAGATTTCAAGGGCTCCCTGCCATTCACCTTCTGCACAAGCCTTGATTTCTGATCCAGGAGGGAAGGTGAGAAGAAGAATGACTGGGCTGCCTCTCCTTCTGCTGCTGCTGCTCTTCTGGCTCCTGCCTCCAACTTCTGCTAAGAGGAAGCAAAGTGTATGTGTGTTGACAAACCCTTTCCAGACTCCGGAACAATGGGACTATTACAGGTCTGGTGACTTCATCATTGGTGGGAATTTGAACCTGCAGACCTTTGATCCCTTCAGTTTTCAAGACTATGAAAACACCTTATTCTCACGTCTTTTTGGAAAGGAGTAAGTTTCACCTGGAAAGAAGTAGATCGTTATTTGCTTTGTTTGGGGCTCAGGGACCCGTCTAGGAAGCCCTTCCTCTAGAGAGGTTTGCAATGTCCCAGTGTAGTTGAGATCTTTCTACTTTTCTCAGTAAAAAGCCAAATTCATAAAATAGGCTAGAATTCCCAACCTTTCCAGAACTCTTCCCCAGGAAGAGGAGAACATAAGATATAAAGGAGGAAAACGCCTGAGATCTTGTGTTGGTCTAATTCAGTAGTTGACTTATAATATTAACCTGGACTGAAAGTCGTGCTGGAAAGCTCAAGGAGAAGCTCACAGCTTTTCCAGGGTGGGGTATTGTAAAAATGATAAAACTCAGTGTTGGAATCAGCAGAGCTGATGAAGAATGGCTTTCAGGACGTCTGTGCAGCCTTGTGCTCAGCAATGGTTAGCAGACCTGAAGACGCTGCTCCAAGAGAGGCTCAGATTGAGTAGGGTGGAAAAGGAGCAACTGGGAAGGATGAGAGCCACCGGAGCAGAGTGAAGAAGGGAGGGAGGACAGAAGGGCATAACATGGTCCCGGATTTGGATGGAGAGACGTTTCTGCTTTCTTATAAATCATTTTTTTTTAAATCAAGAAAAATCCTTAATAAACAAACCTTATGAAACCTGGGACTTGCTGCTCCACAGAACACACACACACACACACACGACAAGACAAACCCCACCAACACACACAAGCTGTCCTGTAATGTTCCCCAATGTTTATGTATTCTGTTGTTTAGAAATCTATCCCATTCCGTTCCATAAGACAAGTTTTTTTCTCACAATAGCATCATCAGCAAGAACTACCAGCAGTTCCTGGCTTTGATGTTTGCAGTCAGAGAGGTCAACAAGGATCTGGTTCTCCTGCCCAACATCACCCTTGGCTTCCACATCTACGACAATCACAAGTTGGAGAGGAGGATTGTCTTATTCAGCCTCTCCCTGCTCTCCACACGAGGACAAATGGTTCCAGGTTACAAATGTGACCGGCGGGACCCTTTGCTCTCTGTCATTGGAGGTGTCAACTCCAGATCCTCAAGGCTGATGGCCTCCATCTTCAGCATCTTCAAGGTCTCGCAGGTAAGGGGGCTCCATTGGAGGCAGTAGACAAACAAGAGAAGCACATGGTGTCCATGGAGAGTCTCAATGCAGGTCATGGTTGGCCCAAAGGTGCTTTTCAAAAAGTAACTGGAGTTTCTTGGTTTTTTCCTTGAATATGTTTGACTTCTCATCTAAGAAGCCACAAGTTTTGAGGGCTTCCTTGGTGTGCTTAGGAATCAAGGAAGCCCACACAGCTTGTGGCTATCCCCACTGGGCTTTCTTGAAACTCAGAAAAAGAACCAGTAGGAGCTTCTCCATAACAGACAAATATGAGAACAACCAACAGATGCCATGTTGTCATCCCATACAAGAATATCTGAAAAACTCAGGAGAATTTTCAACCAACACAAGATACATGCAGGCCTTAAGCCCAATAATACATTAAGGCAGAAACATATCCACCTGAAGGATAAAACAAGACACAAATTGAGCAAATTGGTATATGCAGTAGAGACATGTGCATATCTGTACATTGGAGAAACAAAACAACCACATCACAAACACATGGTACATCAAACCCATCAGGACAAGATTCAGCAGTCCATCTGCATTTGAAAGACAAAGGTCACTCTTTTGAAGACAGCAAAGTCCACATTCTGGACAGAGAGGACCATTCGTTTGAAAGAGGGGTCCAAGAGGCAATCAATGACTCCCAGAAAAATTGCTAATGACCAGATGACTGCAAGGAATATAAGCCCTTCTATTTTCCACCATACAGTCAGAACTGAAGAAGCTTCTTGGACGACAAGTGAAGCATTTTCATTCAAGGAAAAAAAACCCAAGGAAGTCCAGTTGCCTTTTGGAAAAAGCATCTTTGGCACAACAGAAGCCAATTTTGGGGCACATCAGGATTATATGACTTAGAGAAGCCATCATTTAGTTGAATTGATTTTTATATTTTGTGTATGAAGATACATTTTAATCTAACCTGAAGAGATAGATAATGAAATAATTCTGAATGCTATACTTTCCAAGAGGAGTGCCACCCTAAACTATTCTTCATAAAAGTGTAGCTATCTGTTTTTGCACAATTTCTTCTTTTTATCAGGTGGATGGTTTGTTCTCTTATCTTCTGACTTGTCACAGGCAGGCAAAATATGTTAACTGGTGGCTCTTCCTAAGAATAATAATAATAACTTTATTGTCATTGTACTTATATACACAGTATACCCATACAACGAAATTCACTTAACACCCAAAGACCAGGTTCAACACACATAACAATCCCCAAACACACTCCCACCCACCACAAATTCCCCACCCCTAAACCACCCAAACATCCACACAACAGACCAAGTAATGCTGTCCAACAGCTCATTGATGGTGGCCCTTTAGTTCATTGTTGAGTGCAATTATAGCTCTGGGATAAAAACTATTCAGAAAATGTGTGGTCCAAGTTTTAATTGTTCTGTATCTTCTGCCAGAAGGCAACAGTCCAAAAAGATTGTAAGCAGGATGGGAAGAGTCACTCAGAATGTTCTGAGATGGGAAGAAGCTTAAGGTTGCTACTCAAAGGGAGTCAGGTTGATTGGTGGGACAAGAAACCAAGAAAGCAAAGACTAGTGACCCCTAAAATCACCATAAATTCTTACGTTGATAGAAGAATCTCATTTTCTCCAGCTCGGTGTTGGCTTTGAGGTCTCTCAGGGAGACAGAAGAGTTTATCCTTCCTTCTTCCGGATTAATCCCAAGGAATTTCCCCAGTATGAGGGTTTGGTCCAGCTGCTCCTGTATTTCCAGTGGAACTGGGTTGGGCTGGTGGCCCCTGAAGATGATGATGCAGAGCATTTCGTCTCATCTCTGGTGCCAATGCTGAAGGAGAAGGAGATCTGCCTGGCCTTCAGCAATCTGTTCATTTCTGATAATATTGCAAAGTTGGATTTATATGCCCTTCTCAAAACTTTATTTAAAGCTGAAGTAGTTATTCTCTTTGGAGGGTTCAGTAATGTTTCAAAATTCTTGCTCTATTTGTATGATGATTTACTCTCTAGAATGTCACCATTTTGGAAAGTTTGGATAATAACTTCCCATTGGACATTTGGTGCGATAGGATATCCATACAGTTTGAGAACTTTAAAGCTCTTGCATGGAGCTTTGCATTTTAGGGACCACGCCGGGAATGTCCCCGAATTCAGCCGTTTCCTCCTGTCTTTAGACCCTTTGAAGCCCCAAGGGGACGTCTTTCTCCCACTATGGTGGCAAAGGGTCTTTAGCTGCAGGTTCCATAAACCAACTAGGTCCTACAAACAATGCACAGGAAAGGAGAATTTACAGAATCTGCCGTCTTACGTGTTTGAAACAAGCATGACGGGTGAAAGTTACAACATCTACAATGCTGTTTATGCTGTGGCACACGCGTTACATGCAATGCATGGATCAGGAATGCGACCAGCCATGATGAGGCTTGGAAAGAGGATCTCCAATGTCCAGTCATGGAAGGTAATCTCTGGCACTTTTAATCGAATCCACCTAATCTGCCCTTGGAGTGTTTTTTAAAAATTAATTTTCTATTGTTTACATTGTGTTAGTGCTTAATAAACATCGTGTTGTCTGGGTTAATTTATTTGCTTAGCAGTACAGATTGGGTTCTTAATCTGCACCCCTCTTCTCCCACCACTGGTAGAATAAGTTCCATGTTTGATAATGTTCTGTATCTTCTTTCTGTTTAATCTTCAGTGTAATCTTCTGTCCATTTCTGAGCAATCCAGTATCTTCCTAATTATCTCTTTGTCTTGTGATATTTCTTCATTTTTCCAATATTGTGCAAATATAATCCTCACTGCAGTTAATACATGCAATATTAAATATAGGTATATATTTTATTTATCATTTTTTTCCGGTGCTCTACCTAATAGAAAAAATTCAGGTTTAAAATCTACATGTTTTCCTATCATCTTTTCTAACCACTTATGTATTTTTGCCCAAAATCTTTTTGCTTTAAGGCAGGTCCACCACATATGGTAATATGTGCCCATTTTTTGATTACATTTCCAACATTTGCTAGACATATTAAACATTTTGAGTGTTTTGTTTTTGTTTTCTTTTTAAGTTACTTTTTAATTTATTTTTTATCAGCTTATTTTTTTAAAATTTTGTTAGATGATTGGCATGTGTTTATTCCAACCATGCTTAAACTCAGTTAATGATGAGACTAATGATAAATGGTTTCCTGGTCTGAAATTTATTTATTTGTTTGTTTGGTTATTTGTATTCCTCCTTTATTATTTCCACAAATAATCCAAAATGGCAAACATATCCCATATACTTTCCTCCTCCTATTTTCCCCACAATAACAACCCTGTGAGTTGGGCCGAGAGAGATGGACTGGCCCAAGATCACCCAGCAGCTTTCATGGCTAAAGTGGGACTTGAACCCACAGTCTCTTGCTTTCTAGCCTGGTGTGAAACTGGTTCTCATTATACTTTCCTGCCTCATTGAGTGACAAACCAGGGCAGGAACTCACTTCTGCACGGCTTCATTTGCTCAGACTCGGTACCTGTTTTCTCCATTCTTTGAATGTAGTTAGAGAGAACCAGTAGAATTGTACCCTGTTGTGGTACAAATGGTTTAATCATTCCTAAAAGGAAGCTATTCTCGATTCCCAGATATATTATGCATCCCTTTAGGATGAAGGCCATCCCAGAATGATAGAAGCCATCATGTCTCATTTGTGGCTTTCAGCCAATTACTTCCATTTCTGAATGTTCCTTTTTCCCCCAGATTCTTCCCTATCTGAGGAAGGTCCAGTTCAACAACAGTGCTGGAGAGGAAATTTCCTTCTCAGAAAATGGACTGGGATCTGCTCGTTATGATCTTATCAACTGGGTTCTCTGCCCCAATCGATCTTTTGTGCCTGTGAAGGTTGGGGAAATAGATCCTGGGTCTCCCTCAAGAAAGGATTTCACCATTGCCTCCAATGCAATCACCTGGGCCTCAAAGGTGAGCTGGAAGGAAACGGTGTAACTTCAGGGAAAGGCTCATTCTCTCCTGAGGATACAGAATTCCCTTCTAACTCAAAACAGGACGACTGAAATAGAAAATGTGGCATCCGTTGGTGGAAAACCTGCCTTGCATGTAACTCAGTTGGCGATCGAAGAGAAGGGATGGGATTGGGAAAACCATTTGATTGAAACCCAGATGCAATTGGAACAGGCAACAGTGATCTCCATGGACCATTCAGTTGGATCTTCATGATACCAAATTTGCGGATGATACTAAACTGGCAGGAATAGCCAACACTCTAGAAATTAGGCTCAAGATCCAAATGGATCTTGACAGACTTGAACATTGGGCCCTATCTAACAAAATGAAATTCAATGTAGAGAAAAATAAAGTCTTACACTTAGGCAAGAAAAACCAGAACTATAAATATAGACTCGGTGAAACCAGACTTAATAGCAGCAACTGTGAGAGGGATCTTGGAGTCTTAGTGGACAACCAATTAAATATGAACCAACAGTGTGCAGTGGTAGCCAAAAAAGCCAATGCAATCCTAATCCAATTGCATTAACAGAGGGATAAGCTCAAGTGAGGTACTATTACCATTCTATAAAGCCTTAGGAAGACCCCACCTAGAGTATTGCATCTAGTTTTGGTCACCACACTATAGAAAAGATGTTGAGACTCTAGAAAAAGTGCAGAGGAGAGCAACCAGGATGATTAGGGGAGGCTAAAACATGCGATGAACGGTTACAGGAACTGGGCATGGCTAGTCTAGTGAAGAGAAGGACCAGGGGAGACATGAGAGAAGTCTTCCAATATTTGAGGGGCTGCCCCAGAGAGGAAGGGGTCAAGCTATTTTCCAAAGCACCTGAAGGCCAGGCAAGGAATAATGGATGGAAACTGAATAAGGAGAGATTCAACCTGGAAATAAGGATGAATTTTCTGATAGTGAGAACCATCAAGCCATGGAACAGAAGTTGCCTTCAGAAGTTGTGGGAGCTTCATCACTGGAGGTTTTCAAGAAGAGACTGGACTGCCATCTGTCAGAAATGGAGTAGGGTCTCTTGCTTGGGAGAGGGGGTTGGACTAGATGACCTACAAGGTCCATTTCAACTCTGTTAATCTGTTAAACTGTTTTAGAAAATACGTAGCTCAATGTTAGAAGACAATGAAGTATCATTTCTAACCTCCAATACACATTGTGGGTGAAGAGTGGCTTGGCCTGAACCTCCCAGAAATTTCCCCCAATTTTTCTGGTAGACAATGGTGAATCATTCCTTTGGAAGAAATTCTGGAAAGGGAAACAGGACAATGGAAACAAATAAATGAAGCAAGTTCATTGCTTAGACGATCACAAATATTTCTCTTTCAGAAGGTGCCCTTTGCCAGATGTGGCACGAAGAGGTGTCAGGCAGGAGAGAGGAGAAGAGTTCCAGAGGCTGAGCAAGTTTGCTGCTACCAATGTGACCTTTGTCCAGAAGGGACCATTTCTAACCAGACAGGTAGGTCACACTTCAAATGCAGATCTTTGAGGATCATGTAAACCATTCAGTACATCAAAATATTGATTTTTAAAATCAGCTTTGGTATGATTGACATGTCTCAAAGGATTCATAGTTTTTCAGCAGAACCTCTCAGTTTATGTATTTAAATTGTCCTGTCCCCACAAGCCACCTTTCCCACTCATGAGCAATGAGCAGGCCATCTTGATAAAGTAGGGAAAAAGTTGGCAATCTCTCTGGCAATGAAAGCCACAGTAGGCATGGAAGTGCCTGGTGATTGGAGAGGACTTCATTTTTTTTTCAGAAGCAAACCGATACTTGTTTCTGACTGACTTATGCTCAGGGTCATCCTAAATGAAAGTTGATTTGCTCTTTTTGATGCACCTTAAAGTGCTGAGTGGCTCACTCCATCAACACATTTATGGATTGGCCACAAGAGACAGTCATGTCACCCCTGAGGGAAGGGCAGGGGTGAAATCCAGCAGGTTCTGACAGGTTCTGGAGAACCGGTAGCGGAAATTTTGAGCAGTTTGAAGAACCGGCAAATACCACTTCTGGCTGGCCCCAGAGCAGGGTGGGAATGGAGATTTTGCAATATCCTTCCCCTGCCATGCCCACCACGCCACACCCACCAAGCCACACCATGCCCACAGAATCGGTAGTAAAAAAATTTGGATTTCACCACTGGGGAAAGGTAATATTCATGAGAAATCCCTCTGAAATCCTTAGACAAAGACTTTCATCTTATCGTTTTATCTTGATTTCAGATGCAACTCTCTGTGACCCCTGTCCAGAAGACCAATATCCCAACAAGGACAAGGACCACTGCATTGTGAAGAAGATCCACTTTCTTGCCTATCAAGAGACCCTCGGATACACTTTAGTTTCTCTCACTCTTTCTCTCTCTGTGATCACATCTGCAGTCCTGGTGATATTCCATAAACATCGTGACACACCAATTGTCAAGGCCAACAACCGAGATCTCACCTACATCCTCCTGGTCTCCCTCCTGCTCTGCTTCCTCTGCTCCTTCCTCTTCATTGGTCGACCCAGGAAGTTCACCTGTCTCTTCCGACAAACTGCCTTTGCCATTCTCTTTTCCCTCGCAGTTTCTTCTGTCTTGGCAAAAACTGTCACGGTGGTTCTGGCCTTCATGGCCACCAAACCAGGGAACAGGGCAAGGAAATTCTTAGGAAAATCACTGACTAACTCCATTATTGCAACCTGTCCCCTGGTCCAAGCCGTTCTTTGTGCCACCTGGCTGATAACCTCTCCCCCATTTCCCAACATGGACTTCCACTCCTTGGTAGGAGAGGCCATTTTGGAATGTCAGGAAGGCTCAGCTTTGATGTTTTATGCTGTCCTTGGTTATCTGGGTTTCCTGGCCCTCGTGAGTTTCACTGTGGCCTTTTTGGCTAGGAATTTGCCTGACAGTTTTAACGAAGCCAAGTTCATTACTTTTAGCATGCTGGTCTTTTGCAGTGTTTGGATCTCCTTCCTCCCCACCTACCTGAGCACCAAAGGGAAGTCCATGGTGGCTGTGGAGATCTTCTCCATTTTGGCCTCTGGGGCTGGTCTCTTGGCTTGCATCTTTTTCCCCAAATGCTTCATTATCCTATTCAGGCCAGATCTTAATTGTAAAGAAAATATGAGAAGAAACAAGAATCTCTAGCTATAATCTCTAACTTTCTGCTTTTCCTGCTCTTTTTGTCTCTGGGAGGGCATCTGCAGTCCTGGTGCTTTTCCTTAAAAATCATGTCATATCTATTGTTGAGGCTCAGTCTCTACCCTCCAACCAACACCGACTAGGATCAGCTTCAAAGAACCACCCAGAACCACGTACCTTTCCCTATTAGTCCAGATGGTCCCAAGGTTTACTACGGCCGATGGTATCCTATGCACACCAGCTGATAATTGTGAAGATACACTTCACAAAACAAACACAGCAGACAAACTTTTCTGGCTCCAACTAGTTGTTAGGCAACACTCCTGTAGAGCTTAGCTTAGCCTAACATCTTGAGAGATCCTTCATCTTATTTTTAAGATTTATGGAGAACTTAGTTTCTAATTTCATCCCCTGCCATGGGGGTTTAAATAAAGCAGTCATTCCATCCAACAGTCGTTGGTACGATTGTTCACACTTATTTGGGTACAACTGATTGTCATGTGTCACCGTGCCTCATTAACATCCACAAACAATGCAAATGAACTTTGGGTCAGGCCGGACTCCATCTTGGGTGCAGGTGCTCAGTTTCAGGGAGGCCGAAGGCCACCTGCTTCCTGATTCTTGAGTCTTGTTGTTGCTCCTTGGAACAACAACAAGAGACACAAACAGGGTTTCTTTTTCCTGGTGTATGAAGACAAGCTACACCTATGGAGGTTCTCAGTCCTCCAGGTCATGGTTGTCCCAAAGGTGCTTTTTCAAGAGGCAACTGGACTTTCTGGTTTTTCTTTGAAGACGTTTCTCTTCTTGGATGAGAAGCAAAACTTCAAAGGAAAACCAGAAAGTCCAGTTGCCTCTTGAAAAAGCACCTTTGGGACATGAAGACACTGGGTGAGACCTTCCATCTACGCGCGTGTGTGTGTGGGAGGTATTATTATGTGCTGAAGATATTCTACATCTCTGGCCCTGGTGAGCATAGCAGTGCTGTTGATACCCTGACTCAGGACCTGGTGGCTTTGAGGTTCTGGAGAGGAAAATCAGGCTTCAACTCAACCCTGGAAAAATTAAGTGGATTTGGGGTTTAGACCCTTCTGAATGTGGGGTTTTATCATCTCTGGTACTGGATGAGGTTGCATTGCTCCAAACAGGCCTGATGCATAATCTGGGGTGTTAGGAAATGGGGGTGAGGGGTACCCCAGACCGTGAATCAGCTCATGAGCAAACACACTAGGACTGAAATAAATCTGACAGAGGCGTCTTGTGTAAAAATATAATTTACTTTAAAATGTTTAAAAAGCACTATGTCTTTAAGAAAGCACATTAAAAACAAAGTCTTATCTTGTTATGTGAAGCAAGGCTATCTCCCTAGATTCCTCTCCACAATACCGAAACAGTTCACAAGAGAGTAAAGCTAAGATGAAGATAAGCAGCTTCGGTGTCGATACATCATCGAGGTAATAGAAGGGGGGCAGCACAAACTTCACAGCTAAAAGTCACCTGAAGTAAAAACAGTTCAAAGAGCAAACGTAGCTTGAAGTGTGTGGGAGGAAGAATGTCCAGCAACAGCAGTCCCGATGATAGCTTTCACGCTTCAAAACAGCAAAAAGCAAGCATCCGTAGGAGTTTCTCTGCAACAGCGTCCGGAGTCCTTATCTGTGCTTCTCCTCCCATCTGCGACGTTGCACTGAGCTCTGCTTGCAGCTTCCAGCAAGAGCTCTTGCATCTAGGCCTAAAACAGGTTTAGGCCCGAGCAGCAAGCGAAAAGGTCCTTGCTTATATGGGGAATAAACCTGCAATTAACTAGGGCGGGGAAGGCTTGCAGGTAATTGCAAACAGGAGATGGCTTGATTGAAGCCATACTGTTTGTGACTGATCAAATAGCCACAGCAATCCTGAAAACACTCGTGACATGGGGGTTCTTCATAACACCTGACCCCTCCTCAAAAAAGGAGAAGGC